GGCGCCCGGCGCCGGGCGTGTGGCGAGCGTCATGGTGGGGCTGCTGGCCTCGCGGCGCTGAGGGAGCGGAGGCGAGTCGGGGACGCGCAGCCGGTCTGCAGCGAAGCTGGGAGCCCCAGGAAACCTTCCCGCGCCCGGGGGCTGATCCCCGGGCTCGGAGCCCCTCTCAGCCCATCCGCGCGCTGGGTCGGCTCCGGGCGGCAGATTGACGTTGTTGCCACTCGGTCCTCTCCCCGCCTCCGGACGCCTCCCGTCTCTAAATGGAATTCGTGGAGCTCGGAGCCTCGGGTGTAACGCACAGACATGATCCATGGACGCGCCGTGTTGCACAGTGAGTCCCCGCCGCCGCGCGCTGCGCTCCCTCTGCATCCCTCTGCTCCCTCCATCCCGCCCCTCGCGAACGCCGCGCGGGACCCCGCCACCCCCGGCTCCGGGCAGGTGGAAACTTTCTGGATTGCCGCATCCGAAAGCGGCGCGTGGGGGCGGCGGCGCGCCTGGGCCGTCGTCTCCACTGGGGTCTGCCCGGGACACTTGGCTTTTCTGCAGCTGGAACCCACCGCTGGGGTGAGCCGGGCGCTGGGCTCAGTCCGAGGGGCGCGTGAGGAAGGGAGACTGGGACTCGGGCTCATGGGAAAGAAGGATTCAGCGGAGGTCACTATGCCTTGTACCGAAGCACCCGTCCTTCCTGATTTCGGGGGGCTCTGTGGCCACGCCGGTGCGTCCGTGAAGCCCGCCGGCACTTGCCTTTGAGCGCTGGACGCTGGTTGTTGTTTTAAGAGTGTGGTTATGACGGTAGTGTCGGGTGCGGAAATAACTAGAGAAATTAAGTCCGGAAATCCCTGTGTGTGTTTCACAGGATTGAGCAAGGTTTGGGGTTCTCTCTCTGGGACCCGCACTTCACTCACTGGGGTGTACTGAGGTGAGCACCACCGTGCTTTTTTGGAAATAGCAGAGTAGAACCCTCTAGACATCCCTCCCTGATGCGTTCCTGCGCGCACGCGTGTGTGTGCACAGCCGGCGGGCGGCGAACTTCCCATCTGTGCCATTTTCTACCGAGAAGCACACACCGCCGCCGCCTCCTCCCGTGGTTTTGTGTCAAAGGAGGTGGCCAGTCTAGAGACTTTGTATTTTCTTTCCTCCAACTTAAAGCAATGCAGGACTCCATGCCAAGTCATATCGCCTGTATGTCTCCCCATGGGCGAAGATCAAGGCAAAATGATATTTTTTAATAAGCACCTGCTGTGGGCATTACAGTAGGCTATCCTTTGAAGGATATCCCAGCCCCAACATTCCCTTTAAGCGTAACTATGATTACACACCGCATAGAACCAAGAGAGTCCATGTAGTCGGAGCAACGGATTCAGACCAAGCAGGAAAAGCAGACGAGTGTGAGGACCCAATGGCTCTCCTGCTTCCCTCGCTTTCGGTTTTATAAAAAAAAGGTCCAGTAAAACCCAGAGGGTGGAAAGGAGAGCGAGCAGTTCTGGTTAGATTGGACCTGCCCAATTGGCTGGGTTGGCTTCTTTTAGATATGAACACACGGATCCATCTAAAAATGCTTACAGAACTGACCTTTCTCAACAACAACAAAAAAATCAAAATCTATTTCTGGGTAGCACCAAGTGCTAAGTCTAAGCACAGACTGAAAGACATTAATTTCATAGCTTAGTACCAAAGAGAGTGTTTTCTTGTTAATCCACTACATTCATATAATGTTCATTTTTATAAAGCTGCTGTTTAATGCCTCCAATCCAAGTTAATCTCTGTGACTCCTTACCAGTGCCCCCCCACCCCCCAGTCCAGAGGATTGGCCTCCTATTGGTTGTACCAAATACAGCCAGTGGAGGAGACCCTGCTCCTGCTTGCGTGTTCCCCTTGCTCCTCGCCCCTGCTGCCCCCTCATCTTCCCCGAGAGACTTCCACAATGCCTGTGGAAAAGGTAGAGCCCAGGCCCTGCTGGGTCCTGTCTGTGGCCTTAGTACATGCCAGTGTGACCCTGAGTCTTGTAGGATGTGTACTTCCTTTGGAGTTCCAGCCACATCCCTTCGCTCTTGCGATACTGGCTCCAAGGCCCCTGCGGGGCCCTGTTTTGTGCACTTTCAGCCAGATTTTCGTACCCCATCAACCAGGAACAGTGAGCCCTGTGACAGTTGCTCTGTGTTGATTCCGTTTGCTCTCTAAATTGCATTACTTTGTTCTTAAACTTGACCATGCCAGTGGACACTCATTTTCTCTAATTTTTCTTTGCTGTTTCAGTTGTAGCAAGTTTAATCATCCTTCATTTATCTGGGGCAACCAAGAAAGGAACAGGTATGTTTCTTAAAAAAAAAAAAGTGGAAGTGGGGGAGCCCTAATTTTCTTGCATTTTCCTATGTTTTACATATTCTTATTCCAGACTCTCTGGAAGGCTTGTAGTGTGTATAATTGATCGGGTTTGATGAAGAAAACATTGAGAAATTCATTTACTTAATGGAAATTATAAGAATGTTCCTCTCTATTTTTAATCTTGTAGACATTTGGATGATGGTGCTTTTAATATTTATTTATGTATTACAGAAAAGCAAGCCACTTCAGAGACACAGAAGTCAGTGCAGTGTGGAACTTGGACAAAACATGCCCAAGGAGGTGTCTTTACTTCTCCCAACTACCCCAGCAAGTACCCCCCTGACCGGGAGTGCATCTACATCATAGAAGGTGAGGAGAAAGAGGGAGAGGGCTTAGGATGTGCCAGGCCATGCCAGAGCCTCTTTCCAACTGGGCTGGACCATGTACTTAGAGACATTACAAAGTGGGTTTTGGAGGTCTCCTGCATGAACATATCCAAGCAAATCAAATCACAGGGGAATCAGGAATCAAGCTGGTAGTTGGAGTGTTTAGGAATAAATTATGCACAAGTCCATTCTGGGACACAAAAGCAAATCAACGATTTCAAAAGTTCATTTGGCAACTGAGTGACTTAAGTAAGGGGTAATGGGATGGATGCGTTGTTGACATAACATTTGTTAATCTGATGGGAATGGTTTGGAAAACGAGTTTTCTATTAGTTTAATAATCATTAGCCTAATCCACCCATGTATATGTCTACTTCTTTTGTAGCATAAAAACACAAAGCATGTTTGTAAGCGGAAGATGTGTAGTCCTGCCTGCTAAACATTGGCTCGGATGACCGCAGTCACCGAGGCTTATTCTCCATGTCTAGAGAAAGTTGTAGCTGCTGTAGGAGACATTGAGCCAGATCCTACTCAGCAACCTTGAGCACAACAGAACAAAATACTGCCTGGTCTTGACCCATCCTCATATCCTATCGTACTTTCGAGCTTGTTGTAGACTCTTGTCCACCACTCAGATGGAGGGTTTTCCTCTTTTCACTGACCATCTACTTTACCGGGCACATTGATACATACTATTTTGACACCTCATCACACATACTTGGGACCATGTTAGTCGGAGGGGCCAGACCCTGGAAGAGCTTTCGTGCTTTTAAGGTGGAACCCACTACTGTTAAGTTGATTCTGACTCAGAGCAACCCAGCCCGACAGGGTAGACTTGTTTCACAAGGTTTTCTAGACTTTAAATCTTTCTTAATTTTTCTTCTGCAGACCAACCGGTAGATTCAAACTGCTGACTTTCTGGTTAGAAGCTCAGTGTATAACTCACTAAGTCACCAGGGCTTCTGGGTAACGTAGAAGGTCAATGAAAAAGAGGAAAGTCCTCGGTCATTTGGAATAAACATTGGCTGCCACAATGGGCTCAAGCATACCAGCGATTGGGAGGAGATTGCAAACTGGCCAGTGTTTGGTTTGTCTGTTGAAGATAGGGAACCCTGGTGGATAGTGGGTCACAAATTGGACATCTCTTCTCTGATGGAGGAAGATGGGGTTTATCGTTTGGGAAAGATTTACAGTTTTAGAAATCTGCAGGGGTGGTTCTACACTGCTTGATGGACCACTATGAGTTGGAATGTGACAATGTGTGGCTATGAGGCTGAACCAATTCAACAGCATGTAATCACAACCACTGTTTGTCCAAGCATGATGACCTTCTTCACGTTCTGGTCCCTCCTGACGACACTCCCAAGGTGTGAGAGTATATGCACCTGTGCAGAGATTAGGTATGGCTGGGGACCGCAAAAAGTTTGGAGGGCTTTTGTATATGGTGTGAAGGCTGAAGAGGTGGGCAGTCCCAAATAAAGGAGAACCCAGGAGTCCATCTGTCCTGCTCGTGAGAGTTTGGACTTTCTTTTGGAGACATGGGGTGCTGTTGAAGCAAAGAAGAGCCTGGCTGTGTAGTGGTTATGAGTTGGGTTGCCAACCACAAGGCCAGCAGTTTAAAAACCCCAGCAGCTCTGCAGGAGAAAGACGAGGCTTTCTACTCCTCGACTGAGTTACTACTGTCTGAGAAACCCACATGGTTCTACCCTGCTCTATAGGGTCACTGTGTGTTGGAATAACTCGGTGGCAATGAGCATAGTAACGAGCTACATAACGTGGTGGTATTCTGATGAGGAAGGGACAGAAAGGAGAAAGGAGGCCATAATAAGAAGTGATTGAAAAGGACCAAGGCCTGAGCTAGAGAGGCTCCTGTAAGGTTGGACATGAAAGATGCTTACGAACTTGGACTGAGGATGTGAGCATAAGGAATTCTGGAACTTGTTTAAGGATCTCAGCTTGGTGGCTTCTTAGAAGGAATTTCCATGGATAAAGGATATAGGTGGAGAAAGAAAGTTTAAAGGAAAAAGGCTTGTGTCTCATTTTGGTGTCCAGTCAAGCCTATCATGCAGATTGCTTATGTAGATCTTGAGTGCATTGGAGACATCTGCAAATGCATTGTTGTGCCGTATATACTCGAGTATAAGTCGACCCGAATATCAGCCGAGGCACCTAATTTTACCACACACAAAAACTGCATAAAAATGTGCTGAAAAACTTGGCTTATACACATGTATATATGGTAATTCTTAACACAAAGTGATGGTGTGTGAGCTTGCTGTGAGGAACATGATTTCCCACAAATATTTGGAGCACTGTTTTTCAACTTAAGAAAACAGCAACACAGATGCCTGGGATCCTTCTGGAAATTTGGAGTTTGTTTGTCTTGGATGGAACTACGGGCATCATCATATTAGAGTAGTCCTTCATGGGATGCCAGTGGCAACTGGAAGAGCTGGTGTAGAATGTGAGGAGACCAACCACAGAAAAGAGGTCTGGGAAATGAGATAAGGAATGGTCAGCGTGGGCCTAACTGGGCTTTAGAGGGAGAAGCCGGAGAGCCAGAGCAATGGCCCAGCAGCTGGGGGAAGAATGTCCAGGAGAGATGAATGTGCCCAGTGGGACAACAACGAAAAATAAGGTAATGCCAGAAATGCTTCTCTTGCCCTTGGCTCATAAGGGGCTCTCTGTGCATTTAAGGTGAGCATGATATTGACCGGGGGAGTAGCCAGTTCCCAGGAAAGGAGGCAGACCGGTGGGCTGGGGGGCTGTGGAAGCCACAGAGAAAGATGGCTTCACCCTGTCCACTGCTTCTCTCCTTCTTCACCGCCTTGCTTTCCACCCCCTCTTCTATCTGCCCCTCCTTCTCTTCCTCTCTCCCCTTTCTTTTATCCTCTTTCTTTCCATTAACACAAAAATTATTCATATGAGTCCCAAAGAGAATAGCCTTCTATGGTTTAAAACAAGATAATAAGGAAAAAAAACAGCAAAAAAATAATAACCATTTCTTGGTGAGAGACAGCTGTGATAAAGAACTTAAGTGAAGGGTCATTTGTGGCAAGGAGAGTTACTCTTTTGCATTCCATGTGGTCTGAGAACTAGAAGCAAACTTCTGTCTGCAGGAGTGCCCTTCTGGTGAACGTGTCTCCTAAATGTTCAGAGACTCAGAGGGTTGGAATCCCCTTGCAAGGAACCTCTGTTTTAGAACCTTTGTTGTGATGGGAAGTGTTGGTGAGAAAGGGAGCTGCAAATGGCAGATTTGTTTAGGGAGTTGAGCTTCAGTACCTGCAACCAATTTGCGTGTGCTAAAACCACTCACCAATGTGATTATTTTAAATCTGCAACAGAAAATATGTGATGTTTATCTTTTATAAAAAGACTGAGTTCAGTGAGAGGGATTTTCCTATAAGTGCTTGGTTGATTTCAACAAGTTGGACCAAAGGAAAATGGATTGTCCATGTATTCTCGAGGGAGGCTGTTAAAAACTATGTGGTATGGTTTCTGAAAGGAACCTTGGGACTTACTCATCCTTATGAGACCAAACTCAAGTGGAAATGTGAATGAAGATGTGAATCCATGAGTTACTGTCAGATGGCTATTCGTTTCTTAATAACAGAGGCCATTACTTTGATAGCTGAGAAGTCACAATTAGGTAGAGATATAAAGAGGGAGATTCATGGAAATTAGCTAAGGACTATTCTTTTGTTTTGTTGACTTTCCTCATTCAAAGGAATGCAATGTAATACTTTTATTTACACTGAAAAGTACTATCCCTGATGCTGATATAGTTTCTGTCTTCAAAAACATGTCAGATTGGCTCAACCGAGTGGAGATAAGCGAGCGTATGTATTATAAATTACAGTAATATAGATGAGTAGCGTACATCAGAGTCATGTTTACATGGACCTAGTTTTTGAAGTATTCACTAACTTGTACTTGTACTAATCCGCTGGGAGAACAAACCAGCCAATGTGATTTCGCTGGAACCTTGTAAGGGTGTTTTTGAATTTTCAGATATGCAGAATGTATGGAACAAGTATATTATGATCCTGACTGTATTTGCTGACCTCTCTGATGTCCACTAATGTTAAATAAAAGCCTTTCTGGTTTTCTTGCAAGAGTTATTCAGGTCACTCTAAAACGTCCCCGTAATCAGAAACATTTTTCAAGATAATCCTTAAAGTCCACTTTTAGCACACATTGTCCTTAACCAATTGATTTTCCATGTTAGGCTTGGCAAGCACCAGGTTACCTGAAGCTTCCAAAGTGTTACTTTTTCATTTTCATGGTGCTAATTTCCAGATCATCATGAAATCTCTGCTCCTAGTAAACTGGAGGTATCCACAGAGCAGTGAGCCTTTCGGTTTAAGGAGATCAAAGTGATATTCAATGGTCAGTGAGCCTTCTGGGAGCTGCTGACCACAGAGTGGCTAGAGCCCTGCCGTGACAGGTCTTCACTTCTGCACTATAGAAGGAGGTGGTCCCAGGAGAGGCTCACCAGCTAAGAAGCCCCCAGAGGGCTCGGGCAACTGCTCATTTCTTAACAGAGTCAGTGTGTGTTGGTATTTTAACATCCATTGCAGCCCTGCTGGTGCATAGATAGGGGCCTGGCTGCTAACAGATAGATGGCGGTAGATGGACAGCAGTTCCAACCCCAATGAGCAGCTCCCAAGGAGAGTGACCTGGTGACCAGTTCCCATAAACATGACATTATAGGACACCCTGTGGGCCAGCTCTGCTCTGTTTCTCGGGTGGTTGTAAGTACACATGGACTAGAGGACACGGTCATTCTGGGGCTGTCCTGGCCAAATAGGAGTTGGAATGTTAGCTGTTGAGCTGCCTGGGCCATGTCAAGGGATCCGGGTCTCCACATAGTGATGTGAAGGGGTTGTAGATCTATGGGGTCTTATAGAGTTATAGAAAACATGGGTGATGATGATAAGCTCAGTACATTTCACTCAACACAGAGTTTGGTGGAAATTCCCCAGGACAGACTCTCGGCTAAGTACTCAGGAAAGGAGGTGAAGAAGATGTGGTTCTTGTCTTGCAGTGTTTCCCAAAGTGGGTGAGGCTAGCCCCTGGGGGGAGTGGGGCTGGAGTAATCCAGGAGGGAAGGCACTGTAAAAGCAGAGAGACCTATGCTTTGTCTAGATCAGTGGTTCTTAACCTTCCTAATGCTGTGACCCTTTAATACAGTTCCTCATGTTGTGGTGAGCCCCCAACCATAAAATTATTTTCATTGCTACTTCATAACTGTTATTTTGCTACTGTTATGAATTGGGTGACCCCTGTGAAAGGGTCGTTCAACTCCCAAAGGGGCCGCGACCCCCGGGATGAGAATCACTGATCTAGGCTATTGCACAATGGTTTTATATGACAGGGGGTTGCTGGGTAATACTTTTGTTTCTGAAGAGGGTAGTAGGTCAATGTCTTATGTGACTAGATATAGACAAGTTGACAAGACATTTTATTTAACCAAGAGTTTCCCGTGTGGGTTGAAGCTTAACAAGTCAGAGGTCTGTAGACATCCATGAAAATGGGTATGTTGGAAAGGTAGAAAGGGCTTCCTGTTTTTGAAGTGTACAACCAGTTTGGAGGGTCTGAACTTATTCTTATGGGTGTGGACTATTGATCTTATTATAGGATTTATAGTTCATATTAAATATTTGTCTCATTATCCTGTAGCTTAGCACTGAAAAAATGAAGTTTAAACCCGAGGATGATATGATTCGATTTGTGTTCTTGAAACATTCCTCTCCTTTTTCTTGTCTAATCACTTTGTTCTTACCAAGGTATCCGTTTGGGATTAATTGAATGTTTTTACTCTAGACTGTGTGATTCTCAAGAAGTTTCTGACTTGACGCTTGGGGGGTCTTGGAAATATGGTGGAGTGCCAGAAAAACCCTTCTGTGTTTGTGAATCTGATCCGGTAGCCTTTCTTAGGAATATTCTGGTTTGTTATCACATCCTTGGACTCGGAAGGGGTCAAGCTACTATCAGAGTAGTAGTCAGTGCAGCGTTGTTGTCTTTGGGAGGGACCATTTAGACAGTCTTCTGGTCACAGTGGACCTGAGAAAGCAGTCTATTATATGCCTAGTTTGAATTCCCCCAGGGGTCCTGCTCAAAGCTTGATCAAACATGGACAGGTGCCGCAGGAAAGGAATTACACAAGCGAACTAAAGGTTTTGAAAAGCGGCCTTCTGACGTCCTCTTCCTGTCCTTTTTTCCTCCAGCTGCCCCGAGACAGTGCATTGAACTTTATTTTGATGAAAAGTACTCTATCGAACCTTCTTGGGAGTGCAAATTTGATCATATTGAAGTTCGAGATGGACCTTTTGGCTTTTCTCCAATAATTGGACGTTTCTGTGGACAGCAGAACCCACCTGTGATAAAATCCAGTGGAAGATTTCTATGGATTAAATTCTTTGCGGATGGAGAGCTGGAATCGATGGGGTTTTCAGCTCGATACAACTTCACGCCTGGTAAGCAGGGACTCTTTCCTTTTCCTTTTTTTTTTTTTTTTTTCATTTTACCGATCTATTTTCCTTCATCTGTCTCGATTTTCACAGTCCCAAAACTTTTATAAGGCATATTATAATTGGTTCCAAGAATTCTCTATTTCTATTTCAAACCACACATTGTCTTTGCATAAGTTCTGAACGGGGGGGGGAAGCAGGTTTTCTTAAAACTATGTTTGAGATAAAGCAGAGTGGACGCCAGGGTCCACGAGGTCATCAGCAGTGCCATTAATTACCCAGGCATTCATTATTCTGAAATAAGTAATTTGAGAGACAGGCTGTAATAAGGAAACTAATTATATGCAGAAGCCCAATAGATGTGCACAGGCAATTGTGGTGTTGTAAAATGGTTCCATCAAAGCGTTCTTTGGAGAACTTGAATGAAAAGTTCATTTGTTCTGAAAATTATAATAATTTTTGAAGCCAATGGATCATGCTAAAAGGCAGCCTAATCTCTTTTGAGTGATGCAAACTCCTAAGGGTTTGGATGAAAGGAAAACTATGTCCCATTACAGCCACCTATGCATCTGCAAAGGGAAGACAGACATTATCGGCAATTATAAAATTATGCATTCTACATCAAATTTCCTTTTTAACCTTCTCACGTGAAATGGGGGCTGTCAGGCTCACTGGCGCGGGTCTTGTTGCGTTATTCGGCATGGCAATAAAAATGGTCTTTCCTGTTTCAGATTGCAAGGGCACCAGGATGTATTGGGTCAAGATTTGCTGAAGGGAAGTCTTTTACCATTGAAAATTGACACAAATTGCATAGAATACATTATTGTAGACACTGAATGTTTAGATGTATTTTGTATCTGTTGCTTCATGTAGGCTTTCTAAGGCACTGAATGAAGTATCTATGATTTTTTTTTAATGTTGCTGTTTACAAAGGTAACCTTGGTGTAGGGCCAGAGGGCTCTGCTTCAAAACAGAAACTTACAAAAAGAAGTCACAGGAGAAGGGTGGTGGCTTTTGGGCATGTTACATAAATCAGACATTCACTGTACTATGTGGATCCACCTGAAACATAGGGAAAAGGTCAGCAACATCCCGAAGGACCTGTCACTTGAAGTGTGCTTTGCTTATATTGGATTGCTCAGGGGAGTTGTGGATTTGATTCATGATTAGGAATTGAATTGTTGTAGTCCAAAAGTGATGAATATGTAGATTCATTTGCTTGTCTGGTTCTTCTTGTACCAATGGAAATGCATGGTTTATATTTAACCGGTCCTTCGGGGTGTATTCAGAACCTAAGCGGAGGGGTGAAGCTTTGGTACAGGTTTCTATGAGTTAACTTTCTAGGTTGTGCTTGCGGATGCTCTGACTCGCCCTGCAGTGTCAACCTGGGCTCTGCAAGGGTTGCAGGCTCCCCTTGCACGTTTGGTCAGCGTGGGCTGCACTTTTGGCGTTCTCTTTTGGCTGGGGATCATAAATAATCAAAGAAGGTCACCCAAAGCCATGTTTCTTCTTCTTAAGCATCCCCCCACCTCCGCACTCCCCGCTTTACGTCTTTGTGGTCATTGTTAGCTACACTCCAGTCTGCTCGGACTCGGGGATTGAGGAGACCAGGCTGCTCTGTAAGGTTCTCAAGGCTGTGCCTTCCGGACTGGGATGGCCAGATCTGCGTCTGAATACAGCCCCGGTGGGTTCCAAGGGGCCAACCTTTTGTGTAGCTGAGTGCTTAACTCTGTGAGCCACCTTAAACCAAACCAAACCTACTGCTGTGGCATCAATGTCAACCCCTAGTGATCCTCTAGGGCAGAGGGCAACTGCTCTGAGGGTTTCCAGGGCTGTGATCTTTCTAGAAGCAAATTGCCTCATCTTTCTGCCATGGGATGCTGGGCGACTTCAAACCAGCCTCCTTCTGGTTAGAGGCCCAGGGCTTAACACACAACATCACCAGGATCCCTTCACCAAGGGAGGAGCCACCATAATTTGTAGAAGGGGAGCATCTTATTGTCAGGAACAACTGAATTCAAAGGGTATAAGAGGAGATGGCCCTGAGAATTGAGGGATGAGTTTGGGATGTGCTGAGGCTTCAGTGTTTTGTTATTTTTTAATTTTACCAGTTTTATTGACATATTCACATATTATAGAATTCAACAGCTCAAACAGAGTTGTGCTATCATTACCACAATCAAATTTAAAATATTTTCTTCTTTCTTGTACTCATTATTATTAGCTCCTCATTCTCCAACCTCCCTTGCCTTAACCCCAAGAAACTTAACCAGTTATTGTCTGTAGATTTGTCTATCCTGAACTTCTTGTAAGGAAAAATATAGAAACACAAAAAGCAACCCAAACCACAAAATGTAAGGTTCTACAGCAATAATAAAATAAAAAATTAAGGAACCTCAGTTGAAAAGATAACAGAAAATAATAAAAACTGGAACAAATTTTAAAAGGTTGAATAAATGATAAGTACATACAAATTGGTTTTGGAAGAAGAAAAGGCAAAATGTTCCTTAAAGGCAAGGGTGGTGAGACACCAGCTCACATACTTTGGGCAGGTTGCCCAGAGAGGCCAGTCCCTGGAGAAGGACTCCGTGCTTGGTAAAGCAGAGGGGCCGTGAAAAGAGGAAGGTGCTCAAGGAGATGGACAGACATAGTCACCGCAACAATGGCTCAAACATAAGAACAATTGTAAGGATGGAACAGGACTGGGCAGTGTGTTGCTCTGCTGTACACAGGAGCGGCTTGATGGTATCTAACAACCACCACAGCAACATGATGAGGTGTTTTCATTTTCAACCCAACTACATCTGCACTAGTCTACTCTGTCTGATAGTAAGGTTATTTACATCCCTGGTCAGTGCTCAGAGGTGAATCATTGGAGGGCATAATCCCCATGGGCACCCTGCATTATTATTATTATTATTATTATTATTACTATTTGTTATTAATTTTTTTAGGTAATAGATATTGAAGGATACTGGAAGATCTGCCTTTGGTCTATGATACAAAAGCAGAAAGGAAACTTCATAAAGTGCCTTGTCTATGGATTTTGACACTAAATGGCCCAAGTCCTGAGTGCCAGCACTCTACAGAGCATTCCACAGAGAGAGGTGGCATTGAGGCAGCCTGGTCTTTAAGGCAGTGCTTTCACAAGTGGGCAGCACCATCCCCTGGGGTGCTGGAAAGATGTGGGAGGAACTCCAAAAGCAGATACCTATACTTTATCCTGAGTTGTGGGCAGTAGAACAGAAGTGTTTCATTGCCAGGAGGGTTCTGAGTATTTGATTTTTTTGTTGTTGTTGTTTTTCTTTTTTCTGAGACAGTTCAGGGGGGTGGGCAGTAGAGCTAATGAAACTAAAGGGTGTGAGGATTAGGGATACTTTGTGCAGCTTTTACGGAATCTGCCTTCAGGCTGGCGTCACTTGTAATTGTGTGTGTGTGTGTGTGTGTGTGTTATTTATTATATGGTGTTTGCTTCCAGTGGCAATCATGGGGGGGTGACAGGAAGAGCTCCTTAAGTCAACTCCAGTATGTGAGTGTCAGGGTGTGTGCTCTAGTGGTCCACAGCCAGAGATGAAGGCTTATCCACCAGTCTCCACAGAGAGTCTGAAGTCAGTTCGACAGGAAGGAGCTGGCATGAATGCTGCCTTTGGAATTCAATTGGGCTCCTGACCTTTATGGTTCTTATTAAGGGCCGGATCGCTCCTACCCACACCCACTCCAGGGACAAGGAAATGCTGCTAGCGCTGTGCTGTTCTCACAGTGGGGGCTACTTGAGTCCATTGTTGTAGCCACTGAGTCATTCCATCTCATCGGGGGTCTTCCTTCCCTTTTGTTCCCCACTGAGCCTCTACTAAGCTTGAATTCCTTCTCCATGGATTGGCTCTCCCTATGTATGTGAGATAAAGTCTCCCCATCCTGCTTCTAAGGAGCATCCACCTATACTTCTTCCAAGAGACATGTGTTCATTCTTCTAGAAGACCTTGAGGCCCTCAATATTCTTTCTTGGCCGATGCCACACCTCAAATGCCACAGTGCTGCTTCGGTTTCCGTTGTCCAGCACGCATGTGTTTATGAGGTGAATGAGACACCGTGGCTTGGGTCAGGCACTCCTTGCCTTACTTCACCCCTTGCTTTCTTGCTGGCCTTTCTAACGCTTGTTTCAAGGTGGGTTGTTTGACACAGCCCCACTTCATTCAGAAAGTAAAGGTACATGGGGAGCCAGATGGAAATCAGAAGATTTCGTAGTGAGTGTAGAACCCAGACATTGAAAATTAATGTCACTGCCATGTTTAATGGCATCAAGCCCATGTACCAGGTCGCTCATTTCAGCGTGGTTAGTTGTTCCCAGCATGCCTACATCCCATTCGGTGATAGCTGGAGCTCCACCAGCAGTTGGTCTCCACCGCCTCATCGAAGGCCATCTTGCTTGACAGGCAGACTGATTTTTGTCAGCTCTTATCTCTAAATTTAAATTTCTTGATACTTGCTTCCCTTTGTCTTTTCTTTTCGACTCAGAAAAACAGATAACCTTTTAAACAGCAAAGGCTCCTTTAGCGATGTTCGGTTATGCTACAGAATGGGAGGTTGATGGGAAGAAGCCAAAGGCAGGTCCCGTGTGGAGATCGAGGGAAGGATAACTGACCCAGAGACGATCCCAGGAAAAGGGACTCCAGGAGGTTCTTCTGCGTTTTCTGACACAGTCTGACGATTCCTCATTTCTCAGTTCACTGATCATGGCTATTTTGGATACAGTGTCATTGCCCGGGACAACAGTACAGTGATGAATCACCTATGATTGTCCTCTTGCATGAAACGGAAGGACTGGGAAATGGAACCAGAGTCAGGGAGAAGCCAGCTGGTTCAGAACCTGGGGCCTCTGAGGACAGAGGACAGGGGGCAAGGTTGTAGGGACAGGTTCAAGACTGGGGGAGCCTGCGAGGGACAGCAGGGGGGTTCTTAAGGAGTATAGCTGTGTAGCTGCAGCTGTGTCCTGGTGTTTCTTACCT